CTATAACTAAGAAATGTGACCAACAATTTGATTGTTTGGATCTCAGCGATGAATGCAATGAGCAATGTTCAAGAAGTATTCTGGAAACATCGTTCATCAAAGGGGTTACGTTAGTTATAGGAGGTCTAGCAGTACTAGCAAACCTTATCATCATGGCAAAGAACATTGGGACATTGAAGCGATGTTCTACCTCAGTTGCGTTGGTGAACAAGTCATTCATCATTCTTATATCATTTGGAGACTTCTTGGTAGGATGCTACTTACTGATTATAATTATATACGACATGGTAATATTCAAAAAGGACTATTGCCGTGAGCAAATCAAATGGTTAACAAGCTTTGAATGTTCTATGTTAGGTGTTCTTAGCACTATAGGTTCACAGGTATCCTTGTTCGCTATGGCTGGTTTGAGCATGGTGAGGTTGAATGGGATAAGAGGCCCTTTGAGAGTCCCAGGAGAAATCAACCTTGCGAAGTATCTAAAAGTAATGATCGGAATGTCCTTCATTGTTATTGTGTCTATTGCTGTAGCTGTAACACCCATAATTAGTGTCTTTGAGGACTTCTTTGTAAATGGAGTTAATTTTGCTGACGAACTGCGATTTTTCATCGGAACTGCAGACAAACAAAAAATCATCCCAGTCCTTGAGGCTTATTACGGACGAATGAAAGCAACAAACTTAAGCTGGGAAAAGATTCTTGAAATGGTCAGAAACATGTACTCCCATGATTTTGAATATGAAGATCACAGTAAGACCGTCAATAAGCGTGATTTCTACGGAAATGACGGAGTATGCCTCTTCAAGTACTTCGTAACTAAAGACGATCCGCAAAAACTGTTTGTTTGGAGTATACTCATGTTAAACTTCATCTGCTTCATCTTCATAACCGTATCATACATTTTAATAGCCGTGGTCTCCAGAAATTCTGCAAATAGTGTGGCTAATCCACAAGGTGATAACCGAATTGCTCAACGAAACAGAAAAATGAACAGGAGGATTACCATAATAATAACCACTGACTTTTTCTGCTGGGTGCCCTTCATAGTTACATGCGCACTGCACTTCTTGGAACTATTCGACGCCACTCCCTGGTACAGTCTATTTTCGATGCTAATTCTTCCAATTAATTCTGTCATAAACCCTCTGCTTTATGACGATATCGTGACAAGCATACTAAGAACACCGTTTCATTTCATTTCTACTAGAATCACCAACTCAACCTTTTATCAAAATGCAAGAGAACGCATTCGTACATCGATTGAAGAAATAACAGCAAATATTAGACGTCCTACACGACCAGAAATAGAAGTAATCGAAATGGCAGCTCAAGGAAGTGGCACAGGACCTGATGTAGATCATACTCTCAGGGTTGAACCTGATCTAGATCATACTCTCAGTGTTGTACCTGATCTAGATCATATTCTCAGTGTTGTACCTGATGTAGATCATACTCTCAAGGTTGAACCTGAAGTAGATCTTACTCTCAGTGGTGAATCTGATGTAGATCATACTCTCAGTGTTGAACCTGATGTAGATCATACTCTCAGGGTTGAACCTGATGTAGATCATACTCTCAGTGTTGTACCTGATGTAGATCATATTCTCAGTGTTGTACCTGAAGTAGATCATACTCTCAGGGTTGAACCTGATGTAGATCATACTCTCAGGGTTGAACCTGATGTAGATCATACTCTCAGTGTTGAACCTGATGTAGATCATACTCTCAAGGTTGTACCTGAAGTATATCTTACTCTCAGTGTTGAACCTGATGTAGATCATACTCTCAGTGTTGAACCTGAAGTAGATCTTACTCTCAGTGGTGAACCTGATGTAGATCATACTCTCAGTGTTGTACCTGATGTAGATCATACTCTCAGTGTTGTACCTGATGTAGATCTTACTCTCAGTGTTGAACCTGATGTAGATCATACTCTCAGGGTTGAACCTGATGTAGATCATACTCTCAAGGTTGTACCTGATGTAGATCTTACTCTCAGTGTTGTACCTGATCTAGATCATACTCTCAGTGTTGAACCTGATGTAGATCATACTCTCAGTGTTGTACCTGATCTAGATCATACTCTCAGTGTTGGATCTGATGTAGATCATACTCTCAGTGTTGTACCTGATGTAGATCATACTCTCAGGGTTGAACCTGATGTAGATCATACTCTCAGTGTTGTACCTGATGTAGATCTTACTCTCAGTGTTGTACCTGATGTAGATCATACTCTCAGGGTTGAAGCTGATGTAGATCATACTCTCAGGTCAGCAGAATGTGATGAAAAATCAGCTGAATCTGTGAAAACATCTAAAAATGAATATAGAGACGTACCTTCAGAAGGACCTTCTGGTAGAGCGTCAGACATTGCCCTGGATGAAAAAGCAGCACCAAAAACTGATCAAGTCGTAACTATTGAATTCCATTCTCACGAGGACTCATCAGTATAATGCTTCTTGTTGAAACAATCCAATTTCTAAATGTTGCTGTACCATGATAACTCAGTTATTTCAACAGGACAGTCTCTAATAAACAATTCATTGCCAAAATATCAAAGTGCTGGAAAACTAAGGGCCCATTTACCAAAATTGCCAGCTCAAATGACTTCATACAGAAATTGTTCAGTGACCATCTTCATTTTGCGATTCCTGGTTTGGAATCATTTTCCGGAAAAAATTGTTTGATTGATAGGCTATAAGTGCATAACTCAATCTTTGACTATTGATACGAATATGTAATATGTATTACTGATTACATGTATTTAAATATGGCTAGATATTTTACGGATGAATGGATGATACCCGTGAAATTTGTTTCAAGTATTTGGTATTACTATAAGTATTAGACCCGGCATTTGGCAATGAGACGTTGCCAGCCCACGGGTTTGTAAGTTATGATTATGAATATAAACCTTCAATTATATTTACATATATACAACATATGAGGTGACCTCAGGCTATCATGTTCATAATATTAATAGAAATTTGGTGGAATGACAGGCTGAGCACGGCCCAGTAATAATGTTATTATCAATATCAATGATTTAGGTATTTATTATATTATATAGCTGTTATAGTGTTAATGTTATACATTATCGATTATGTACTATACACATTATTGCTAATTGCTAATGCTATTGCTACTTGTTTAGTACGTTTATCAATCAATTAATTGTAAATGAATTAATAACGATATCCTTGTTTAAATTTGTTTTTAGTACAAAATGCTTCAACTTGCTCTTTTCTATAACAAAATTTTAAAAAATAAAACTCAGCATGCTCAAAACACAAAACTAAAAGCGTTGTAGCGCGTTGTAGCGCGATGCACTACTGGGTCGCGCGCGCGCATCCGATAATGCTTCTCGCAACCACAGATCGTATGCAGATCGGCGAGATGCGAAGGATTGACATCGTGAATCAATTCCATATAGGACCGTCGACGAGTCTAACTTTCACATAGCCATGTGTCTACGCGTACTGCGTGACGCGCTTGTTTCACTTCGGCGGTCGCGCGCTACTGCAAGCGAAGGCTTTTACTAATTCGCTCGCCCAAAAATTTCACGTGACTTTGGTTTTTATGGTTTTGCAGCCGTACAAAACGGTTTTACATAAACCCTAATCCCAACCCTACCCCTAACCATAACCCCGAAGCTAACCATAACCCTTACCACAACCCTAACCCTAACCCGGGCCTTAAACAATCGAATTCGTATTTTACTAGCCTGTCACGTGACCAAAACGGTTTTTTGCCCATAACTCTCCAGGGAAGCATTTTAACCCTACGTCATGGGGGGTGATTTGGAATCAGCGTCCAAAAATACATCGATCTAGACCACTTTCATGCCCAAAGGGCCTTTTCACAAGAATTTTCTTAAAATTTGGGCGAGCGATTTAGTAGGAGCGGCAAGCGAAAGGGCTCTGGTTAGAGCAAAGTCTAACTCAGCGCGCGTCGAACGCTTATTCCGCGTCAATCGATGTATTCAGTATTTTCGAACGCTGATTCCAAATCACCCCCATGTCATAGAGTTAAAATGCTCCTCTGACGAGATATTGGCGAAAAACTGCCTCGATCACGTGATATGACGGTATCAGGAAGTTAGTCTAATTTCTCGTTAGGGTTAGGGTTGTATGTTGTAGCGCGATGCCAGATGCGTTACTGTGCCGCGCCGCGCACTCAATGAGGCTTTTCTCTAGATCGGCGAGATGCGCTACTGTGCCGCGCCGAGCTGAGATGAATTGACATCGTCAATTAAGGGTTAGGGTTTCAGCATATGCTTTTGTTAAGGATTGGGTTAGGGTTATAGGGTTGGGATCAGATTAAAGGGTTAGCGTATAAGTTGTCATACGTTGTATGACCCGCCGCGCACGAGTGCGCGGCTCCCCCTGTATCGTCGAAACTCCACTATAGTGAAGCGACAGTGGGGGTCACCACGTGATACAACGTACAAGCATGTACACAGAACGTTCGAAATCTAATTACGCTGATTTCGAATAAGACCTATTATATTACATAGCATGAAAATCATTTCTTGACGAGTTAAGAACCAATTTCAGTTTCAATCTAGTTCCGTCTGCCCAAAGGTTTAATTTGACGTCATGATAAATGGAAAAATCCCTCGGGTAATTCTCCATCTTATGCCATGCCCCCGGGGTAATTCGGAATCACCGGTAAAAATACATCGATCCAAGTTGGTTTTAACAGACAGGAACCTTCAAAGTTCGGGTGTAGAACTATTAGAACTATTATAAAAGAGTGATTCAGTACGCTCGCCGGTTGCTTATTCCTAGTATGTAGTATAATTTCAGTTTTCAATCTAGTTCCGTCTGCCCAAAGGTTTAATTCGACGTCATGGTCTTTAAAGACGGTTATTTTGGTTGGGCCTATTGATTTGCCACACATAATGATAAAACGCTAGATCAGAGGGGCAGGTAGGGAAGAGAGGGTCCCACCCAACCGAGCTTTGCTACACAATTAAGATAAATTAAAGTCAAACACACTTTTGTGGAAATGAAGTACATATAATACAAATACAAATAGTTAATTTAAAACGGAAAATCCCTTTAAATCGTGCACAAAATGTGCGCACATTATATCTGCTCTAAACACCATCACTAATAGCTATTAAAGAAGGCAGACTAGGAAGCAAATATAATCTTCAGTTCTGGTAGCATCAGGAAACCGGGGATCTCATTTGAAATGTCCAGCATTTCTCCGTCTCAGTTGTCAGCGATATCGTCTTTAGCTCACTTGGTGTACCTGTAATTTTATCTATTGTTCGAGTGCTCCGATAAATCATTCTGCGACAGGCCAGGCCATTTCATATTGTGAAGCATCGCTGCAGCGTAATAATGGGTAATTGATGCTGCAACATGGTATACCAGCACTTAGTGAGAGATATTGCATTAACTTGAACTACCTGTACAATTCATGGCGGGACACGCTACCAAAGTACAAAGCGGCCATATCACGAACAGCAAGTCTATGCTCATCAATTATAGCGGCTATTGTATTGAGTGAACAATGATACGACTACTTTATTGTAGAATGTAGAGGATAATGCTACAATTAAACTCACCACGTCTCACTTGAAAGCAATGATGATAGCACTTACTAACTCCTCGGCCTACACGACAATTGTATACGAATAGAGGAAACAACTTGGTGGTTATAAAATCTGACATATTGGTCACTGAATCCGGCAAATGGGTCTCATTTCTAATTTGGCACTGAAACTGATATTATCAATTTTGTGCCAAGTTCCCTGTTAATCCCTGTTAATCACGCTAAAGAGCAAGATGGACCAGTACGTGGTGGAGAGGTGTACATGTGCAAACTGTATCGCTGTCTTCCTACATAACGTATACTACCAGAGTGAACAGCCGCCCCCACTCCAGTTCATACTGTGGGTAGAGTGGTGTTTAGAGGTGACCACAGCTGGGGTAGTCAGACAAAGTGGCCCTCTGGTAAAGGTGGGAACATTCCAGAACCCGGGAACTACAGGTGCGGTTACCAGCAAGTGTGGGTGTGAGCCGTTCCAAGGTGTAGGGTTCTGCGAGGTGACCTCTGATACTCTCTACCTTACACAGTTCTGTGTTCTACCCGGGTACAGAGGACGGGGTTTAGCCAGACTTATCGCAACTCATTTCATATCCAGTCATCCTACTCTTACAGTCATGTGTTGGTCGGTAGGATCCACTTTACTTACTCCCACTGTAACAACTTCTAGATTCGCAGTGAGGCTGAGTATTGGTGCTGGAGATGCTCCTAAAACAGCTGGCATGTTCTCTAATGTCAGCACAAAAACTACAATCTCAGAGACCACCACGGAAACTACCAAGACTCTCGCATCTCAACAGAAACGTGCGAGAAGGGGGGAAATACCAAGACAGCTCAGTGAGGTAGATAATGAGGTTGTGACGTCATCAGTGAGGTGTGATAGCGTCATCACGTCGTTGGAGGATTCCTTTGACAGCTTCATTGTGAGTAGAGCAAGCAGGGACGATTCTGTTATAGTTCACCAGTTCATAACCAAGTTTCAGAGTCAGTGGAAGTTCGCTAAAAAGCTGTCTTTCAAAAACTTTAAGCTCCTTTTAAACCCAAAATATAGAGACATCTCCAGAGTTATCGTAATCAAGAAGAAACACGCTGGCATTGGGACTGAGGCTAACAGAGAAGTTGTGGGTGTACTGTCTCTCCGTTTTCTAGCTATCAGAACTGCGGCTGAAGTTAGAACAACAGCCCTGCTAAGCATCATAGCCTGGGACAGAACTCTACCCTCGCTACCACGAGTTCTACTGGACACCATGGTAACAACAGCACGTGACAACAAGTGTGACGCACTGGTTGTTAACGAGTGCTGTGGGCTGGGGGAGGTGCTGGAGGAAGATGGGAGGTTTGTGGATATGAGAGTAGTGGGGGTACAGAACAGAGTGATTGTGAGGCAGGGTGGTGTGGTGCTGGACCTGGTGGGAGGGAGCGGGGACAAGTGCGGTATGACACTCTTCTAGAGGATACATTGCAGACACATATTTGGAATATATTGTCTCAATTTAAGAGATATTTTGGTTCGATTTGGAGTTTTCAGTACCTTTTAATGATCATCGGTCTTATTATATGACAGGCTTTGTTATGAGGATTTATCATCAGAAATCAGTGCTATGAAAATTGTGTTTCATTTTGTTTGATATGTTATTGAATTACAAGTTTTGCTTAATGTTCAGCTGGGAACCGGACACAAGAACGAAGGACACGAGGGCGGAGAACATGAGGGCGGAAGCCACAAGGGCGATACTTTCATAAAATGGTGGACATAAGGGCGAATCAAATGACTCACTTTAACATGGATTAATTGTGCGATGTTAAGATGTTAGTTCATTATTATAGTTCATTATTTAGGACGGTGATTGGTTCCGCCCTCGCGTCCATATTAAAGTGAATCATATGATTCATCCTTGTGTCCACCCTTTTGGGAAAGTAACGCTCTTGTGTCCTACGCCCTCGTGTTCTCCGCCCTCGTGTCTACCGCCCTTGTGTCCTTCGCCCTAGTGTCCTATACCCGCCTAGCTAGGCTGCCCGTTCAGTTAGGCTGCCAGGTATTCTATCAAAGTACAACACGCTGCTCTAACAGGTGTATACATGTTTACATAAAGCCGCCTTGTCGGATGGACATAATATAGAAAAGTACTCTTTTCAATTTACACCTTTAAATCTAAATTGAAAATTATGAAATAGATGCTATAAATATATCGAATCTGCTTTACGTCATATTTCATTTTAATTGCTTTTAGGCGATGAAAAAAACACGGAAAGAAAATTGTATTAATCGAAAATCAAAACTAACTAAATCACTATTATAATAAGAAGAAATCAAAAGTTATTCAATTTAAACCGATAGTGATTTAAAAAAACAAACCTAAAGTGGTTTACAGTAAACCGAAAGTGATTTAGATATAGCTGCAAGTGATTTAGAGAAACTGAAAGTGATTTACCATGCGTTCCTTGGTGATAAGATGGTTCACATTCCCGATCAAATCCATGACAGAGTTCAAGTTACCGGACCAGGCGTTCAGGATCTGTTCAGTATCCTTCTGTTTAGTGAAACTGATGATACCTGAATATGTCAGAATTAATATAATTTAGATAATAAAACGGGTATGATTAAAACTAATTATTATTGTTACTAATTGTCATTAAAACTAATTATGTGATCACATGTCATTATTATTTGCAAGCAATTATATTCGAATTGAAATCCTCAATTTAGGTGAAATTGTATAGTTTATAGTTATGAGTTCGTAAAACGGCGTTTTTGGGTGGAGACCGGTTAAGAATACTTTTCTCCATTTTTTCAAGATATAATTGCGTTTTCATGAATTTAAAAATAACATATTTAAAAAAAGAATATTTTAAACGGGTATATCCTGTCCAAACCCAGGATGCACTACATGAAGAATTCGTTGTAACTATGTTTGAAAAGCATTAATATCGTAACTCCACAATCCACACATACCCAGCATAGCTAATTAGCTTTTAAAAATACAATCTGGACACTGCACTGGTGTGAACAACATGTAGACTCAAGTGTTTCCAATCAGCACCACTTCAAACTAGGTACATATCATGTTAACTGTGTATCTGTAGTTGCTTTCTATCCGGACATTGACAAAGTGCCCGATTGATAATACACTTCGCAGGCTTTTAGCCACCATTGTGTTTCTCATTGCTTTACGTAGCAGTTGAAAGTTGCGTTGCAATACCTTTACAAATGGTAAATCTTCATCTAAAATGGCTCCATTTCGTTTAGTCGTATGGCTAAGTTGTAAAACCAATTAGAGCTTCATTTGTACTGGTTATCACGAGATATTTCTAACTTTACTTTTACTTTTACTTAATGTCAAGTGACGTCGTTACATACCGTCAAGTCTGTCTATCTTTGCAGTGACCGTATCTTTCACAACTTGTTCACACAGTCTCTTCTCTGCCTCCTGGGATCAAGTAATTCATTACTAATTGGTTAATTGTACTAAAATAATTCACATAATTAGAGTGTGATGACGTGAAATTAAAGAAATATTATCTCAGAGTGATCTTATCAGTAAATCTAATAAATCCAGTTCCGCGTCACAAGACCCTCCCTTATCTGCTTTCAAATCCAGAGCGGAGTATAAAAGATGTGATAACTACGACAACAAGTAACTAAACTTTCTCATACACTACTCAGTACGGCTTCCCCTCCCCCGACCTGGCTCTAGAATTACAAGTTAGCAAATCTATAAGTGGGAGCTGGTGGTAGTTTAGCGTGGTGGCCGGGTGAGATAATAACGGACAGAGCTCTATTATCACCACGCTACAAGACTCCCACTCTGACTACGAATAGTTTTTTTCTGAAACGTATATTACTCGTGTAACGGAGTAACTTGGTGTTACTCAGCTCTGATTTATTGTTCTGATATGGTGTTGTCAGCTTTGATTAGTAGCCCCTGTGGTCACGGAATATGACAGCATCTCTCCTGTTTTTATGTGCATTTTATTTCATTGCTATGTTTCTGCGAATTCATCGCAGAGGACAACTTAAAGGGATATTAATACTAGTTTTTACAATGTTTCGTTCAGTACTTTTGTCAATTTTTCTGCTGTTTTGTTGTGAAGTGTATGGTGAGAGGATCCGTCATTGGAGACCCATGATATTCGATTATAGCTATTATAAGGGAGTGAGCGAAAAAGTAGTTTTTGAAGCAGTAACTTCTGCATATTATTACAGACATATTCTGTATTATACATATTAGACCACTTCTGTGATCATCTAAACCCCTCTAAACCCCTCTAAACCCCTCATCTTAACCCCTCGAATGAAAGTGTTTGGTGAATTCGTACAGATTCCAGATCCCTAAATTTCTCTTATCTCTTCTTGATGAAACTGAATATACTGACGTCTACTATTATTAGTGAATTAATAGTGTCGAGTACAGTTGAAATCAAATAAAAATAGGTGTAAAATTAAAAGTGTATTAATCGAAAAACACACCCCAACACATTAAACGCTACTCTTATATGTTTTCAGGACGTATTTTCAGCGCTGTGTTAATTTTCCAGCGTAAAAATCATATTTTTACTGTTTTCCACGAACAGTGCCTGCCCCTTGCAATACCACCCTGCTACCAATCACGTTGCAAAACCCAAGCGCCCTAATCGTGTGATCTACATAACATGGAGTAAGTTGTGTCGCGGGAAAACTCAAAACTGGGATAAAACCCAAACACATGAGAAAATATAATTACCTTAGAATCGAGGTGGAGAAGGTCAGCGAAGTGTTGCATGGAAATACGAGTGTAGTACTTGGCCAGGACTCTGATGTTGTGTTCAACTACCCTCATTTGTAGAACGTCCCAGTTCTCTTCCTGAGATATTTTATAGTTATCCTTCCTGCTCTAAATATTACTAGTATTATTTTAAATTAATCTAATTTATTACCTTATATTATAAAATATAATTTTTCCTTATTTTACTTCGGTTTCATAAATTCGACGGATCATGAAGTCTATATCATATCTTTACCCTATTCCGATTTGTGAACCATTGCTTCCATTTACATGAAAACTCCTATTAACAGCGCAATTTGGGGGAAAGGAAGTAGCCGCGATAGACCACGACCGGGTATTATATGCGGTAAATCTACTTTCGCAATGGCCATATCTACGTACAATTTATAAAACAGCATTTGCCCTAAATTGCTAATTTATCGACACCCTTCCGCTTCCACTATATAATATTAATATAATATACAGATATCTGGTAATATGTTGTGAACTGAATTCCCAGTGTGTTTGTGCGGCTGTAAAGTTCATTACTGGACGTCAATAGTTTTACCAGGAATACTGAACAATTTCTGAGATCAATTTAGAAAACAATGGCTCCAGAACATGTCTCATTAACACCAGTAAATCAACATACGTGATACACAGTGTTGACTAGTGTTCTACTGTGCAAAGGTCTAGCTAGCTGTTTCTAAGCTTACTGTTTCACTCTGCAACTGTTACGTTGAATCTACGTCAAAAATTGATAAAAGCTTCTAATTAATGGTCAGCATCTTGACAATAGGAATTAGCCAACAATTTAAGACACGACCGCGACGAGTTGCTTAGCAGCATTCCTTCCGATAGACAAAATTAAGCAGGGCCATAATCCTACACATTCTTCACCAAAAAAGGTATGTTACCATGACAGCAATCTCCCTTACAAAAGTACACTTTACACGCATCAACGCCAGCTAATTGGATTCCAAGCTTACATAACTTTTGAATATCTGAACCCGAGCTTTCATCATAAAAACATTATACAAGATACATAGTATGTAAACTGAACGACGGTGTCAAAAATGAGCGTCATCGTTATTTTGGAAGATTTTTTGATGCTATGTTGTTTTGATTCTATGTTGTGGTTTATGATCTTGGCTGTCGATCGTGGCTGTCGATTGCTGATAAACCGTTCCCGTAGTTGCTGTAACTGTAATTAACCTAAAGGTCCTACATTCCACGATTGTGTCAAGAATAGTTTTCTTGTTTCAACAGTTGGTACCAGCTGTCAGTTTTCTAAATATTTCGAGTGTCCAATCAATCAGTCTGGGTGCTATGTTCCGAAACTGCACAGAATTATTCTCTATTTACTCTTTATTTTCCTTTAGCAAATCTATATATTTTTCTTCCCTCTCAAGATAAACATAGCTAAAATAGGACGTCTTTATATTATACATCCAGCATATGTACGTTAAAGAGATGTACTGTTCCAGCATGCACCATGCATAACAGAGAAACAGAGCTTATCTTATCATTTTATCAGACTTGTCACTTTACAACCCCACCGAGTGTGTTGTAGGGGCTCCAGCAGCCCCCTTTTGTCATAGTTACTGGGTAACAGATTCGCTGTGCAATAAGCGCGCAGTAAGAACTCGTTGTTACCATAACAACAAGTTACTCGTCACTAATTAAGGAGCACTTGCTTGGGTTCACATTTGCACCAAATAGTTGTCTACAGTTGTCCTGTACAGTTGGGGTTACTATCCCGCCGCGCCATTTCTTCGCCATAGTGGGAGTTAGAGTTCGTTAAAGTGAACTTATACTTTTTGTGAGTGTAACTGTGTACGTTATGTATTTTAATCTACTCACCCTCTATTTGCGGTATTTTATAACAATATGGCATGCAAAGTGTGGATACGTAGTGACAGTAGGGCCATACCAGAGAAATACTAAAATACACTGCTGCTATTTTCTGTAAAACAGACGGTAATGTGATGCTATAACATTTTTAGAGTGGTAATTTGAGGCGGGTTTTAGATAAGCTGATGAAATACTTGAAATACTTGTATCTCATTTCTTATCTTCTACAGACAGATCAGAGCTCCTGTTCATCTTTGTATGTCATAATCATATCTTTTATCTCGTTGGAAATTTAACCCTCCCAGCATCGCAGTTATAAGTTAGTTAGTGTCTTCACGCTTCAGTTGACAGATCATGTCCTAAATTGTCAAACCACATTCTTCTTTTGTACTTGTAAATCTTACTTTGTATTGTTTGCGTCGAATTCATTTGATACTCATTCAAAATACATACATAGCAGGGTAACGACAGATTAACTGTGCTAGAATTCACACTTACACGATACACAGAAAAAGTAGATATGATCAGGCCATTGGAATTCGATACGCAAGAATTAAATCTAGGCTTTTATTTCGTGGTTAGAGAAGATAATGTTTGTTTTCTATTAAAGTATTAAACTTAAAGCTAATCTGATTATATTGTCTTCAGTCTTGCCCAATTTTATTTTTGTACCAACGTTTAAACTCATTTATTTCTGTTTTGATTTAATTTTTGTCAGTTGCTTGCACAATTGTTCTCCTTCTAGATTCCTCGTTTCTAGTCTCTATCATTGCTCAATACAGTATTTTTGTGAAAGTAAGGTGATAATTACTGCTGTTATACTTGGACTTCAGAAATAAGATCGTGTAATATCCGTGCATAAATAAAATAAATAACATAAATAGCATAATGAATGTATACATACAATCAAGGATAGTTAACTTGTTAGGTGAAAATATAACTGACGTAAAGTACAACCATCATTCCAATGTTTCTCTAACTGATTTTATTTCGTCAACAATAGTGTAAGGAATAACCAAAGTAATTATTTAATAAGTTTGGTTATCTAAAACTAAAACAATCTAATCAAGCAAACTAATCCCTCCGCAAACCCACGACTCACCTTGTCCAGTGGACTGGCCGGTTCACCGGTCTCTGATTTTAAGTGTTGTGAGTATACCTTCTTCAGAATACTCCAGTTTAGCAACTCGGCTGTGTCAAAGCACATTAGCACGTTTCTGTAAAGGAGAGTGAGGTTATAGGTAAAGTAGATTTTACCCCAGGTTCAGGGAAACAAAAGGGGTAAATTTTGAGGAATGTGGTTAATTTATTTAATTGTGATTTTTGTGTGGTTATTGTCTGAATTACATTTTCGTCTTGCTGATTGTAGACTTCATAGTTTAAGGTGTGGTCTGGGATCATCTAAATGTCATGATCATAATAAATTCTAGTAAGCTTTTCTCTGTGCTCTGACTGTGTGATCTGGTCAATCAAACCTCTTGTAAAAATTGGGCAAACGGCCAAACAGTTTGCTTTAGTCTGAGACGGATTTCAATTAGTTGAGTACTAATGTTTAACTAACTCACAAACTAACAGATCAGGAATAACTAATATTCGGTTTCAGTTCATCTTCATTCCATTAATCGAAATTTGTATATTTTCAAACTAGTTCAAGGGAATTTCGAAAATAACGAATCTGTCTTCAATAGATGTTGGTGCTTGATATCGTGCATCTAATTTTTCCCCGTTGCAGCGGTAAACTTTTGCCAATTACTTAATGGTATTCAGCAATACATATTATCTACAATAAACATTTGGCATATTTCTCTGATTTGCTTCTTGAATATTTTTTGATGATTTCAAATTGAAATGTCATTCCTTTCATTTAGTCTTCTATATATCAAATAATATGCATTTTTCTCTAACTCACCTTTTTAAACTATGAGGAAATTAAATCAAGTGATCATTAATCCCGCAATATAAACTCGGTGAGATGGGGCAATCTCTTGTCATGTGTGTGTCATGACTCATAAAGCCAGTGTATCCAATGTTGTTAGCTCCGTTTTTAGTTTTAGGATCGTAAACTATTCTAATGCAAAGGTTTAAATATGTTTTTTATGTTATATATGCCGGATAACCATTTTCCTGGTTTCTATGGTAGTCCACTCTATTTCATGCTTGCTCACTTTGTTTTATGATTTGATTCTAAAATGCGATCGTTCTCCATGGACTATGAGATCACCCTATCACATGACAATAACCTTGGTTGTATGTGACTCTCTGGAGACTGAACAATACAAACCATCTATAATCCACAACTATTTGTGAATGGTGAATTATCATGTGCCAACAATATAAGGACTAAAGGCGTGTGAAGGAGACGACCACAGACCTCCGAACAATAAAATCAAAAGCATTCCTGTCCGTGATTTTAGTCTACCCGCGTAAACCACGTGCATTTTCTAGTCATGCTGTGAATTAATTTACAGTATTACAGGTGTTTTGATTTTTAGATTAGTCACCGTTTATCAAACAACTCGATCTTGGAGCATTTAAGAAGCGACTTCTTTTGATTGTTTTCTGAAACAATTGTTGTAAAGATTTAAAGTTAAACACTCACTGATAGTAAGGAAGTTTGGCTAAGTTGGTGTCAGTTTTAATTCTTGCCAACATGTCGCTTTGTTCGTTGTTGTACTCAGCCAGGATTAGATACAGAACAACTCGTTGCAATGCCTGAGATAGAGGTCGGATTTAGGTTTTAGAGTTAAATTAGATTATAAAATTAGAGGTTGTAAGTTGAAACGAATGAGGTAGAGATTGAAATTAGAGGTCGTAGTGAATGAGATAGATGAATTGAAATTGGAAGTTGTACCGAATGAGATAGAGATTGAAATTAGAGGTTGTAGTGAATAAGATAAAGATTGAAATTAGAAGTTGAAATTAGAGACAATGTTAGAGATCACTTAGGAGAATAATCCTGCAAATTAAACTCATAATCGAGTAATAACTGGAAGTGCGTAAGTTGAGTGAAAATGGAGGTAAACATAATTATAGCGATTATGAATTTACGACATTTACTAATTTGCAGGCAGCTTCCCACAAATTTGAGTAATTATAATAATGTAATTATAATGAATATTCGTAAACTATCCCGACAGTGCCCATCTACCACTATTCTGTTTGGCAATTCGTTAATCTGGCGATGGTCTTAAGTGTGCGTTAAGTGTGCGGTGACCAATACTGACCATCGACAGATTACCGAATCTGCCTTTTTATCAGTTAAAATATCACGCATTTTATCAGTTAAAATATCACGTATTTTATCAGTTAAAATATCACGTATTTTATCAGTTAAAATATCACGTATTTTATCAGTTAAAATATCACGTATTTTATCAGTTAAAATATCACGTATTTTATCAGTTAAAATATCACCTATTTTATCAGTTAAAATATCACTTATTTTAGCTTGAGAAAATGTACACTGTTTCCAACTCCCTATTATGAGTCTAATCCAAGTTTAATGAAGGCATTGTAAGAAAAAGACAGGCTGTAATTACACCTGAATGGAGACGGGTAAAAATTTAAAGTATTCGCTAAAATAGGATAATTATGATAAATCAGAGAAAGGAGGCTGTACTAAGGAGGGTGGTATATCACAGCGCTCACTTTAACAGAACACGCACCTCCCTTCGCCTGTCTTTGTCTCCCAATTAACAACGAGCGTTTTTAGCTCTATCTCCGGACAAAGGTACTCTTTCTTTTTCTGTGCACGTGACCCGGCCGATTTTGGTGGCACGTGGTTCCCTAGAGTGTGGGAGGCAACTTGACCGATCTTAGTTTATCTTTTCTTCTTTTATACTGTTGTGTCTGGTAGGTCGGGTGCCATTATGTGTTTGAGGGTTTATTTACTATCGAGTTTAAGCTTGTCAGAATATTACGTAACATTTATAGGGTTTAATTAGTCTTTCTTGGTTTCCAGCTAGTTTGTTCTATTTCTGTGTTAGACAGATAATAACTCTATAAACTTACGCATAATAATTTGCATTTCAATAATTATATTTGAGCTCCAACCCATGTTTACCAAGGAGAGTCACAATCAATTGAGTTTGATCAGATATCTTCTTAATATGCAAATAATTTCCATGTGTATCCGATTCCGTTTATTGAAATTATCGGCACTCATAAAACGCAGGCATAGTGTACCGCTGCATGCATGGCAGTCGGGTTATTTGTAGAGGCGCCCAATTTTCCAATTAGGGCGTGCTAATATGCACATCTAACCTCTCATCGCTTGGAGAAGGTTTGGTCGCGTGTTCGTATATTCTGATTGTTCTTATGTTTTATTACTGTTCTAATGTTATTAATGTTTCTAGATGCCGGAGATGAACAGCCGTCGCAGCAAGATCGTTATAGGTCTGACCCTACTCCTTCTCATCACAATCATAGCAATAGCCGTTATTCTGACCCTGTCCCTGTCCAAGACACACACTAAAGCAGAGGATAGCGTTGCAGCGGAGAACGGAGGTGCACAACCGACCACAGTAGTGACAGAGACTGAAGAAGAGACCACACCTGAAGAAAATACCACATCTGACGTAGAAATGGTACCTACCACTAAAGCAAAGGATAGTGTTGCAGTGGAGAACGGAACTGCAGAACCGAAAACAGAGCTGACTGATGGTGGGGGAGGCGGTGAAGACGATGCAAAAGAAGTGCCCGAAAAAGAAACCACTACAGGTCCAGTAGTAACCGAGGCTCCTGAGGCTCCTGAGGCTCCTACCGAGGCTCCTGAGGCTCCTACTGAGGCTCCTGAGGCTCCTACTGAGGTTAATGAGGCTCCTACTGAGGTTAATGAGGCTCCTACTGCAACTGAAGAATCAGGATTGGACGAACTGAACGTGTTCCCAATTAATGAGATATCTACAGAAGTTGCATCAGTCCCAGAAGACGAAGAAGCCATGGAACCTGAAGAAACAACAAAAGAACCTTTACCAGACAAAGAGACCGCACCTGAAAAAGAGACCGCACCTGAAGAAGAGACCGCGACTGAAGAAGAGACCGCACCTGAAGAAGAGACCACACTTGAAGAAGAGACCGCACCTGAAGAAGAGACCACACTTGAAGAAGAGACCGCACCTGAAGTAGTAACCGAGCCTGAAGAAGAGACTGCACCTGAAGTAGAAATCGTACCTGAAGTAGTGACCGAGCCCGAAGAAGAAATCATTTCAGGTCCAGTAGTAACCAAAGTTGTTAATGAGGCTCCTACTGCAACTGAAGACTCAGACCAAGATGTAACAGATATAGTTATAGAAGATTTTTCGTTCCCAACTAATGAGACATCTACAGTTGTACCAGTTCTCACAGAAGACGAAGAAGCCATGGAACCTGAAGAAACAACAGAAAAACCAGCTGAAGAAGAGCCTTTACCAGAGACCGCACCTGAAGTAGTGATCGCACCTGAAGAAGAGACCACCCCTGAAGTAGAAACCGTACCTGAAGTAGTGACCGAGCCTGAAGAAGAGACTGCACCTGAAGTAGAAATCGTACCTGAAGAAGAGATCACACCTGAAGTAGCGACCGCACCTGAAGTAGAAACCGTACCTGAAGAAGAGACCGCACCTGAAGAAGAGACCGCACCTGAAGTAGAAACCGTACCTGAAGAAGAGACCACACCTGAAGAAGAGACCACACCTGAAGTAGAAACCGCACCTGAAAAAGAGACCGCACCTGAAGAAGAGACCGCATCTGAAGAAGAGACCGCACCCGAAGAAGAGACTGCACCTGAAGTAGTGATCGCATCCGAAGAAGAGACTGCACCTGAAGAAGAGACCGCACCTGAAGTAGTGATCGCAACTGAAGATGAGACCGCACCTGAAGAAGAGACTGTACCTGACGTAGTGATCGCACCTGAAGAAGAGACCGCACCTGAAGTAGTGATCGCACCTGAAGAAGAGACCGCACCTGAAGAAGAGACCGCACCTGAATTAGTGATCGCAACTGAAGAAGAGACCGCACCTGAAGATGAGACTGTACCTGACGTAGTGATCGCACCTGAAGAAGAGACCGCACCTGAAGAAGAGACCGCACCTGAAGGAGAGACTGCGCCTGACGTAGTGATCGCACCTGAAGTAGTGATCGCACCTGAAGAAGAGACCGCACCTGAAGAAGAGACCGCAGCTGAAGAAGAGACTGTACCTGAAGAAGAGACTGCACCTGACGTAGTGATCGCACCTGAAGAAGAGACTGCACCTGAAGAAGAGTCTGCACCTGACGTAGTGATCGCACCTGAAGAAGAGACTGCACCCGACGTAGTGATCGCACCTGAAGAAGAGACCGCACCTGAAGAAGAGTCCGCCACTGAAGAAGAGACCGCACCTGAAGAAGAGACTGCACCCGAAGTAGTAATCACACCTGAAGAAGAGACCGCACCTGAAGAAGAGACTGCACCTGACGTAGTGATCGCACCTGAAGAAGAGACTGCACCTGACGTAGTGATCGCACCTGAAGAAGAGACCGCACCTGAAGAGGAGATCGCACCTGAAGAGGAGACTGCACCTGAAGAGACCGCACCTGAAGAAGAGACTGCACCTGAAGTAGTGATCGCACCTGAAGAGGAGATAAAGCCGAACAAGAAACGATGCCCGGATGAACCTTATAAGAAAAAGAGTAGGAAATGCTTGCTTGAGGAATGGGAAAAGAAAGAATGTGCCGGCAGGGATGGAGTTATGAATATAGCAAGTAGTACTTGTGCGGCCTGGAGTAGGCGTTGTAGTAGCGAACAAAAGGATAAGTCTTGTTGCAAGGCTATTTATTGCTTTGGGGTAAAGATAAGAGAAGATTTTCCTAATTTTGAAGGGTAAAGAAATTATGGGTACAAATCAGATAGTATATTGAACCTCCCGATTTCAGCAGACGATTCAAAATCGATGGACTTAAATATCGAATTGGCCACAGCGATCTAGAAATTCCTGAATTTGATTGCGAAATTTGCAACGCTATGTTTATGTGGCACTTCAAATAGGGTCGGCGAATGTTAGCGCAGCTGAAGAGGACATTCGAAGATTATGTGATGCGAGCTTGGACTCATAAATGGCCTATTATAGTGACTTGATCTTAGGAAACAATGACCAAATGAACATTCTTAAGCTTTAGTCTTGAAGTTTTAACTGAGATTCACATTGTGTAAATATTCTGAATTAGTTGTATCTATTTGTGAAGTATTATTTGCAATTTTGTTTTTAGTTTTCTGATCTCTAATGTATTTTTCATTATTTTTGAAAATTTATCGGGAGGGATACATCATTATTAATCTGGCCACATATCTAATTATTTATACAACTGTGTCGTGACGTAAACATAATGTGATCGAGTCACACAACCCGATCATTTATGAAAAATGGCACAGTTAAGAGATAGGAATGAAAACTAACCTGTTTCCATTTCTGCTCCTCTTCCTTAACAGAGGTGGTGTTGTAGATCTCGTGGTAGTTCTTGCTGACTGCCAGATACTCCTTGTGATGGAGGTTTAGGTCGATCATCTGACGATAGTACCGCAACTTTAGCTCCTCCGTGTCAGCTCCCTCAAAATACTTTATGCTGATCTTCTTGCTGATTATCTGGGTCCTGATGTAGTCCTTGGTCTCGAAACAAAGTCTCATTTGCTCGAGAATGAACTCTACCTTTTCTTTCTTCTCCATTGTTCCGAATGTTTCGACCTGGGACGCTAGGTTTAGGAAAAATAACTTAACAAAAATTATTCCACTAGATTACGAAATATAACAAACGTATCTACTATCTAGTGGGGGTGCATTTATGCAAGAAAACCCAAAATTACTCTCAAAATAGCAAATGATTGTTCATGAGTAGCAGGAAAATGATTACGAACATATTTCACAACTCCTGTTTATACTTTATCCATCTATAAGTCCTTCCAGACTTGATTTTTTCAAGGAATTAACATCACCTCCCTACCTGTAGCTGTAGTGAAGTCTAAATACGTGTAGACTGTTGATGTGATGTCAAATGCATCGAGAAATATATCGAATACAAACAATACATCATGAGCAGTCGTAAAAATCAACCAAATCAATGAAAGAAATTTGATTCCAACCTGCAATTCCTGTAAGACTTTGGCAGCTTTTTCCGGCTCGTCGTCCTTCTCGTAGATGGCAGCAAGAGTACGAGTTACACGTGCTCTCTCGTTCTCAACGTATATCTTTCCTTCTGTCACTGTCCTCAGCACTTCTATTAGGTCCATCTTTCTTTCTTTATCCTGAAAACCCGAAGATCTAAGATCACTTGGGTAAAAATAAAAACACGATATCTTTATTTAAAGCCGTCTGATGTTTTCACAGGAAAAGCTGATGGCCTAAGCTAACTCGTCGGGAGAAAAACTCCCAAAATGGTGAGTGGGCACACGTTAGTATGAACATGTACTAGTAACACTGATATTCAATGGTTAAAAGCAGCTTTTGCTGCATCTGCTTTGAGATTTCCACGTGTACTACCAAATATAGTCATAATGTCTCATTCCAGTACCTCAATTTCAGGTACCATCTCGCAGCATCTCTGGACCATCTTCGTGACAGCCAGCTTGAAATGCCCTCGTTTCTTGCACAGAGATGTTATATGTTCTTTGAGCAGTGTCCAGTCCTGTACTTTGTAACACAGCGCTACGATGCAAACCAACACTTTGCTACTTGATATTGCGTCTCCTGCCTGAAAATACAGTACTTAAATAAGATATTCATCGAGAAATAAATAGACAAGTATTCATTTAGATAAAATGGAAGCTACCATCAAAGTTATCAGTAAATTACCCCACGAGTTTGTTTTTCTACTACAAGAAGCTTGTCAATAGCTTCATTGAGTTTCTTATCCGCCGCCAATGTCTCGCACTCCGGTATGACTTTATCCACAGTATCACTGTAGTCCACCTCCATCTTCACCATTCTGTCTTCGTCACCCATATTTAATCCTATAAAGAAGATATAAAAGTTTATGTATTGGAAGTCACATACGTAGATCCTTGTGGGTTGTGTGTACACTGTATTTTGAAGCTTACTCATAACACACAACTTCGACTTTTGAAATACTTAATTTCGACGTACAAAAAGAGGTTTCGACCGATCCATGGTTTTCAAGCGCTTCATTTACTGCATGCCACGTTAGCAAATATGTGGGTGGAGTCCAAATAAACAACATCAGTCATTTTCCTTAAATCAACACTAATTACAGCAAGGGTGTACGTGCGACTGCAGAAAAATCGAAATTTCATCACACTAAAATTTGCCGCGCCTTACGTTCAAAAGAGAAGTTCCGGCGCGCATCGAGTTCTTCTGTTCAGAAGACGTTTCCCTGAAATGTGTAGTGGATTTTGTAGTGGATTTTGCGCGCCGCACGTACGTGACAATATTTATTATTGTAGAATCTACGACGGTAGCCGTCAGAGTTCTCAATAAACTGCTCGTATTTTTAGACAATAAGATATGAATAACGTAATAACACATCCAACCCCATTCAGCTGAATGGATCAGGCCGTCCATCCCAAAATAGCTGAAGTCCCCTAAAATACAAACTGAGAATCTTTACTCCTGTAGGGGATTTGTGTTTCTGGGTTTATGGAACATTTTCGGTGGTTAAATAGGAAGTACCTGTCCCAAGTCATTAGAAAAACCAATTTTCGTCCTCTTGACCCACTCAGGCCACTCCCAGGGGCCACGCCCATCCCAAAATTACTGAAATCCAGGTAAAATCAAGACCGAAAATCTTTACCCCCGTAGTGCATTTATGTTCCGGGGTAGGTGGAACATGTTTTGGTGGTTAAATAGTTAGTACTTGACCCAAACCATCAGAAAAACCGAGTTTCGACCTCCCAACCCACTCAGGCCACTCCCAGGGGCCACGCCCATCCCAAAATTACTGAAAATTAGGTAAAATCAAGACCGAAAATCTTTACCCCCGTAGTGCATTTATGTTCCGGGGTAGGTGGAACATGTTTTGGTGGTTAAATAGTTAGTACTTGTCCCAAACCATCAGAAAAACCGAGTTTCGACCTCCCAACCCACTCAGGCCACTCCCAGGGGCCACGCCCATCCCAAAATTACTGAAAATTAGGTAAAATCAAGACCGAAAATCTTTACCCCCGTAGTGCATTTATGTTCCGGGGTAGGTGGAACATGTTTTGGTGGTTAAATAGTTAGTACTTGTCCCAAACCATCAGAAAAACCGAGTTTCGACCTCCCAACCCACTCAGGCCACTCCCAGGGGCCACGCCCATCCCAAAATTACTGAAAATTAGGTAAAATCAAGACCGAAAATCTTTACCCCCGTAGTGCATTTATGTTCCGGGGTAGGTGGAACATGTTTTGGTGGTTAAATAGTTAGTACTTGTCCCAAACCATCAGAAAAACCGAGTTTCGACCTCCCAACCCACTCAGGCCACTCCCAGGGGCCACGCCCATCCCAAAATTACTGAAAATTAGGTAAAATCAAGACCGAAAATCTTTACCCCCGTAGTGCATTTATGTTCCGGGGTAGGTGGAACATGTTTTGGTGGTTAAATAGTTAGTACTTGTCCCAAACCATCAGAAAAACCGAGTTTCGACCTCCCAACCCACTCAGGCCACTCCCAGGGGCCACGCCCATCCCAAAATTACTGAAATCCAGGTAAAATCAAGACCGAAAATCTTTACCCCCGTAGTGCATTTATGTTCCGGGGTAGGTGGAACATGTTTTGGTGGTTAAATAGTTAGTACTTGTCCCAAACCATCAGAAAAACCGAGTTTCGACCTCCCAACCCACTCAGGCCACTCCCAGGGGCCACGCCCATCCAATAATTACTGAAATCACTGAAATTACTGAAAATTAGGTAAAATCAAGACCGAAAATCTTTACCCCCGTAGTGCATTTATGTTCCGGGGTAGGTGGAACATGTTTTGGTGGTTAAATAGTTAGTACTTGTCCCAAACCATCAGAAAAACCGAGTTTCGACCTCCCAACCCACTCAGGCCACTCCCAGGGGCCACGCCCATCCCAAAATTACTGAAAATTAGGTAAAATCAAGACCGAAAATCTTTACCCCCGTAGTGCATTTATGTTCCGGGGTAGGTGGAACATGTTTTGGTGGTTAAATAGTTAGTACTTGTCCCAAACCATCAGAAAAACCGAGTTTCGACCTCCCAACCCACTCAGGCCACTCCCAGGGGCCACGCCCATCCCAAAATTACTGAAAATTAGGTAAAATCAAGACCGAAAATCTTTACCCCCGTAGTGCATTTATGTTCCGGGGTAGGTGGAACATGTTTTGGTGGTTAAATAGTTAGTACTTGTCCCAAACCATCAGAAAAACCGAGTTTCGACCTCCCAACCCACTCAGGCCACTCCCAGGGGCCACGCCCATCCCATAATTACTGAAATCACTGAAATTACTGAAAATTAGGTAAAATCAAGACCGAAAATCTTTACCCCCGTAGTGCATTTATGTTCCGGGGTAGGTGGAACATGTTTTGGTGGTTAAATAGTTAGTACTTGTCCCAAACCATCAGAAAAACCAAGTTTCGACCTCCCAACCCACTCAGGCCACTTCCAGGGGCCACGCCCATCCCATAATTACTGAAATCACTGAAATTACTGAAAATTAGGTAAAATCAAGACCGAAAATCTTTACCCCCGTAGTGCATTTATGTTCCGAGGTAGGTGGAACATGTTTTGGTGGTTAAATAGTTAGTACTTGTCCCAAACCATCAGAAAAACCGAGTTTCGACCTCCCAACCCACTCAGGCCACGCCCATCCCAAAATTACTGAAAATTAGGTAAAATCAAGACCGAAAATCTTTACCCCCGTAGTGCATTTATGTTCCGGGGTAGGTGGAACATGTTTTGGTGGTTAAATAGTTAGTACTTGTCCCAAACCATCAGAAAAACCGAGTTTCGACCTCCCAACCCACTCAGGCCACTCCCAGGGGCCACGCCCATCCCAAAATTACTGAAAATTAGGTAAAATCAAGACCGAAAATCTTTACCCCCGTAGTGCATTTATGTTCCGGGGTAGGTGGAACATGTTTTGGTGGTTAAATAGTTAGTACTTGTCCCAAACCATCAGAAAAACCGAGTTTCGACCTCCCAACCCACTCAGGCCACTCCCAGGGGCCACGCCCATCCCAAAATTACTGAAATCACTGAAATACTGAATTAGGTAAAATCAAGACCGAAAATCTTTACCCCCGTAGTGCATTTATGTTCCGGGGTAGGTGGAACATGTTTTGGTGGTTAAATAGTTAGTACTTGTCCCAAACCATCAGAAAAACCGAGTTTCGACCTCCCAACCCACTCAGGCCACTCCCAGGGGCCACGCCCATCCCAAAATTACTGAAAATTAGGTAAAATCAAGACCGAAAATCTTTACCCCCGTAGTGCATTTATGTTCCGGGGTAGGTGGAACATGTTTTGGTGGTTAAATAGTTAGTACTTGTCCCAAACCATCAGAAAAACCGAGTTTCGACCTCCCAACCCACTCAGGCCACTCCCAGGGGCCACGCCCATCCCAAAATTACTGAAAATTAGGTAAAATCAAGACCGAAAATCTTTACCCCCGTAGTGCATTTATGTTCCGGGGTAGGTGGAACATGTTTTGGTGGTTAAATAGTTAGTACTTGTCCCAAACCATCAGAAAAACCGAGTTTCGACCTCCCAACCCACTCAGGCCACTCCCAGGGGCCACGCCCATCCCAAAATTACTGAAAATTAGGTAAAATCAAGACCGAAAATCTTTACCCCCGTAGTGCATTTATGTTCCGGGGTAGGTGGAACATGTTTTGGTGGTTAAATAGTTAGTACTTGTCCCAAACCATCAGAAAAACCGAGTTTCGACCTCCCAACCCACTCAGGCCACTCCCAGGGGCCACGCCCATCCCAAATTACTGAAATCACTGAAATTACTGAAAATTAGGTAAAATCAAGACCGAAAATCTTTACCCCCGTAGTGCATTTATGTTCCGGGGTAGGTGGAACATGTTTTGGTGGTTAAATAGTTAGTACTTGTCCCAAACCATCAGAAAAACCGAGTTTCGACCTCCCAACCCACTCAGGCCACTCCCAGGGGCCACGCCCATCCCAAAATTACTGAAATCAGGTAAAATCAAGACCGAAAATCTTTACCCCCGTAGTGCATTTATGTTCCGGGGTAGGTGGAACATGTTTTGGTGGTTAAATAGTTAGTACTTGTCCCAAACCATCAGAAAAACCGAGATTCGACCTCCCAACCCACTCAGGCCACTCCCAGGGGCCACGCCCATCCCAAAATTACTGAAAATTAGGTAAAATCAAGACCGAAAATCTTTACCCCCGTAGTGCATTTATGTTCCGGGGTAGGTGGAACATGTTTTGGTGGTTAAATAGTTAGTACTTGTCAACCAAATCAGTCACGAAAGGGGGCACTTCAGGGTATGATTTTATTCGAATTAGTAATACATACTGCAGAAGTCCGCAAAGGGATTAAAAATGACGAAGTTATCAAGCAACCTGTTTATCTTGTTATCAAATTGGGTGAATAATCATGTGATAGCGTGCTAAGATACCGTAATTGGGCTTAGCTTTCTGCACGATTCTCATAGGGCGGATCTAGTCTCAACCAAATAAACTGATCGCACGTACGCGTAAGGGGTCGTTCACATATTATATAATCGATATTTTGGCAATCATCCTCGATACGTACCTCTGAAGGCAGGGCTCCCGCTCCCGAGCTCGCACTGCAAAAGGGAGGCCTGCCTTCCGAGATCACATTACATGGGGGATCCCTCGAGTCCGAAATCGTATATCGAAGGGTAGGTCCGGACTTCGAAAATCGAAGAAATATTTTCGGCTAATAATGATCAGGGTAGCATGACGTTTCTGGACATGCTAAAGAAGGACACCAGCCTTTCCTGTGTTGAAGAGATAAGATCTGTTATGCTTGACCGCGACGTGTGGCGAGGAATTGTAGCTGCTCGGACCAAGAAGCCGAC